GAATATTAACTAACACCCGGTATATTGAAGAATTTTGCAAACCAAAAATAATATTCTTAGAATGCAAAGACAAATACCTGAAAGTAAAAGAAATCAATATAAACAGTATTTTGCTTTGTGTGCAAAATGGACAAAATTAATACTCCAAATATATGCCAAGGCTTAAAGTAGCAACAACGCTACATATGTAAGTAAAAATATTTAAGTATCTGAACGAAGAATTCTAGTCTCTTCCCAGATTTGATTGTCCTGACTAATCACCTGTTAGGCCTAATTAATTTTAGAATGTGTTAAAGTGTTGCAATTGTGATGTATTTTAGTGTGTGATATGATGAAGCTGTTGACGAACTGTGATTGTTTTTTAAATTAATGAAAATTTTTTTTTTACTATTTGTTATTTTAGAGAAACTGGTGATGGTGGAAAACACCGAAACGTATTTTAATTGATAAATAGACAATAAATGACTGAAGCCCAAGAATTGATTTTGATTTAGAATTGAAACACAGTCAGGAAAGTATGTACAAATTGTCTTCAATATTTCCCATTTCTTTGTCACTCGTGCCCTTACTAATCTTTCAACCCAACTGATTCTCACGATTCTTCGGCATGACCTCTTGAACGCTTCTAGTCGACCACTAGTGTTTGTTTTCAACGTCGAGGACTCAGTCCCAGCACCGGAAAAACATAGCATCTGAATACTCTCTGAGTCTCCTGTGCAAATTAAGATTCCTACTGCATGATACATTTTAAAGTTTGGTAAATATGGTCCCATTCTCCACTCTTCACCAATGTTCACAGGCCTACAATAGCCGGGGCTCTGGCCCGGCCAGCGACCCTGTCACCGCAAGGACCCTGGAGGACTCGCCCAGCTCGCCGCCTGAGAATGTTCAATGCTCAGTGCTGAATGCTCAAAGTCTGCACATATCATGGGAGCCGCCCGTGCCAGCAGGCCGGAACGGCCTCATCCAGGGCTACAAGGTGACTTACCATTCCGTGGGCGAATGGTTCGGTAAGTGGGCTGGAGGCAGGATTTGATGTGGATGTTGCTGATGACGGAACTGTGGTCTGCAGACAACGACGACCAACAGACCAAAATCGTCAATCAGCTCAGAACCACTATATCAGGCTTGAGGAAGTTTACCAACTACAGCATGACGGTGTTGGCGTACACTGCGAGCGGCGATGGAGTGCGATCGTCGCCAGTTTACTGCCAAACTGAGGAGGACGGTGAGTTTTTGCAGTCAGATCTGTGCTTGAATGCAATGTGCACTCCTTTCCAGTCCCAACTGCGCCTGCTAAAATCAAGGCCATCCTGAGCGCCCCCAATAGGATCCTGGTATCCTGGTTGCCTCCAAAGTTCAGCAACGGGCCCCTCACGGGCTACACGTTCTACATGGGCATGGTGGAGGATGGACAGGAGGAGGGCACTCACAAGCGGATGCTCAGTCCCAGCACCGAGATGCATGAGGTGGTCAGAGGCCACGAGACCAACACTCTACAGTTCTGGGTCACTGCCTCTACCAGGGTAAGATGTGGCGAGAGATGATGAAGCATCACTGGCTTGCAAGTCAAAGCTCGCGAATTCTTGAAAAGTCTGAAGCCAAGCTTCTTGGATATTCTTCCTAGATGTCAAGAAATGTGCATTAGGGAGTGAAAGTGCAAGACTGACTCAATGACTCAATTAAGTCACTTTTCTGATTAAATTCTAAATCTGGTTTTTCAGATCGGTGAAGGTGAAAGCACCAGAGTGATAACGCTGACTCCCTCCAAAAATGTGGCCGCTAAAATCGCCTCATTTGGCCGCGAAGTGGTGAGTGCGTGGAAGCAAGACGTCCACCTGCACTGCAAACGGGTGGGGATTCCGCTGCCCAATGCCGTTTGGCGGCTGGACGACCTGCCTTTGGAGGTGGGAGGTCGGAGGTCGATCCTGCCGAATGCCACTTTGGTAGCCATGCCCACACTGTGCATCTTCCCGCCCCTAACACTTGTGATTGCAGGTGATCAAAGACATCCAGAGTGTGGATCAGGCCAACTACTCCTGCTCAGTGGAGAATCAGTATGGAAGAGATGAAATTGTGTACGCCTTGAAGGTGCTGGTTCCGCCAGAGGCGCCCGTTTTTAACGTGGTGGAGGCTTTCACTGATAGTTTGCATTTGAGGTATCCTGGATCTTTGTAACTGATCAATTGTTGAGGTTTCTAGACCGTGATAAATTAGATTTTGTTCCTGATGTTTCCCAAGCAGGAGTGGCTTTCATCCTCAGAGGAAGTTTACTCGCAAGCTCGGACTGTTCAGTGCAGTCCAAGTATTCAATTGCGGTTTTCGCACAGCGCCAGAAAGGTTTAAGCATGAAGTTGGCACAATTTGACTTTCTGCTTAGTAGAAATTAAGGAAAAATCGTAACGCCCAAAGTAGGCCTGGGCAAATCACCTTTGAAGGTGCAAGTCACTTCTGCTTGCAAAATGTCAGGAAGGCGACTGCCTCAAAACCCCGATAATTCACCAGTTTGGTATTTGTGTTAAAGCAGCTTTAACATTCCCACGCTATGTTATATTAAACAAATGTTATGGAGCAAATTGTCTTTTCTAATCAAACAAGTGTGAGGAATTTTGTTTTGTAAAAATGCGTTCTGAATTCTTCTAGCTGGGTGGATCAGGGCAATGGAGGTTCTCCTATTTTGGGATACGTGATCAACTACAAGCGCGACCATGGCGATTGGGAGGAGTTGCAGATTCCCGCTAGAACGGACGAGCACATGCTGAGGAATCTCTGGTGTGGAAGCAGGTGAGGAGATCCACAACGCAAAACTACGCAGTCCGTAGTGTCTGAATGCATGCTCTGAGCCTAAATCGAAAACTTTCAGATACTTGCTGTATATCACCGCGTTTAACAGGATCGGAACTGGGTTACCTTGCGATATCGTCACCGCTCACACTAAGGGAACAGGTGAGGGATGCCGGCGACTGACAAAAATCGAACTTGCACAAGTGAGAATTGATCAATTTTTCAGTGCCTGTGCAGCCCAAACAGTCCCAAATGCTGACCATGAACGCCTCGGTGGCCACTGTATGGCTGGACTCCTGGGGGGATGGAGGCTGTGGGATTATTTCGTTTGCTATTGCCTACAGGTGAGATTTTTTGCCAGTTTCCACGCCGATTTGCTTAGAGCGCTTGTTTCCAGGCCGATGAGGGACAGCTCATGGACCACAGCTGCCAAACACGTAAAACCCACAGATCGCATCTACAGCATTGTAGATCTCTATCCAGGCACGGCCTATCAGATCAAGGTGTCGGCCAGCAATAATGCCGGCGACACGGAGGCTCTGTATAACTTTACCACGTTTACTTTTGCGGGAAGTGAGTGGGTGATGGCGCAGCTGATAGAGAGGTGGTTAATGTTGGGGTTTTTCTAGTCGTTCCAGAACTGTCGCCTCCAGTGTCCCATTCGGGGGATGAGTCCATGTACTTCAATGCCAAGGTGCTGGTGCCTATTGTTTCCTCTTTGGTGATTTCGGTGGCGATTTTCGTCACGCTGTTGTATAGGAAAAGTGAGTTGAATTAGCAATTAAATAGAGTAGTTGGGTAGAGGTTTGAGGGATGCGGATTTTGAAATTAGATAGAACGAGCCTTTATTAGACTGCCGGTTTAATTTATATGTTTTTAACACCTGGTGGGTTTTTTGGGTCCCATTGGGCTTGTAGTTCAATTTATATGAATTAAGTAATGAAGTTCCCACATAGCAAAATGATATTCCTAGAATATACCTGGAACATTCATGTGATGTACATGCATATTCCTGGGACATACATGAGTTCCATTATGAACTTCCATGTATGTCCCAGGAATCTGTCAGAGTTAATACACTGAATGTTCATGGTATGTTCTGGGAATGTACATGGTATGTTCAGTGAATGTACATG